AGGGTAATGAAACCACTTCTTTAGGCGTAGAAACAATGTCAACAGGATATGTGAAGTCGGCGATGAAGTATGTCACTGCTTGGCCCTTTTCAGCTAGCTTTGGTTGGTAGGAGATGTCAAACTCACCCAATGATATCGCCCATTTGATCATTCGCCCAGAAGTGTCAGGACTTTAGAGTATTTGTCGAAGAGGATGATTGGTAAGCACGATGATGGAGTGTGCTTGGAAGTAAGGGCGAAGTTTTCGAGCAAACATGACCAATGCTAGAGCCAATTTCTCAATGTTGGAGTATCGTGTCTCCGCATCTTGTAAGGCCTTGCTAGCGTAGTAGACAGGTCGTTCGACATTACCATCATTTCGAATGAGAACGGAACTTATTGCTGAAGCCGATACCGACAGATAGATAATGAGAGTGTCACCAACCTCAGGTTTGGAGAGCAAAGAGGCTTTACTCATGTAGTCTTTGGAGTTCTTGAATGCCTCAGCACATTTATAAGTCCATGTAATGTACTTCTTACTTCCCTTAGGTGCTTTGAATAAATGAGCACATCTGTCTGTGGCCTTAGAGATGAACCTAGTTAAGGCTGCCACCTTGCCAATAAGGTTCGAGATGTCTTTTGAAGTTATCGATTCCTTCATGTCGAGGATTGCTTTGATCTTCTTGGGATTAGCCTCAATGCCTCGTTGGCTTATCATGAAGCCTAAGAATTTTCCAGAGCTTACGCCGAAGGCACATTTGTTGGGGTTCAACCTCATTCGATACCTCTTCAGAATGGTGAAAGTTTCTGATAGGTTAGTGATGTGTTGGTCAGCATGTTTGATCTTGACTAGCATATCATCAACGTAAACTTCCATGCTCTTCCCAATCTGTTCGGCGAACATTGAATTGACCAGTATCTGATAAGTCGCTCCTGCATTCTTTAGGCCGAAGGGCATGACTTTATAGCAATATAGTCCCCTGTCAGTAGTTAAGGCTGTGTGTTCTTGGTCCGGAGGGTTCATGAGGATTTGGTTGTATCCGGAGTAAGCATCCATGAAGCTTAGGAGTTCACACCCTGCCGTAGAGTCTATAAGTTTGTCTATGAGAGGAAGAGGAAAGCTATCCTTCGGGCATCATTTGTTTAGGTCGGTGTAATCGACACACATTCTCCACAAGACCTTTTGGAGTAGGAGGCTTTCCTTGGTTGGATTCTTCTTAATAAGGACAACATTTTCTACCCACGTTGGATAATTGACTTCGTGGACGAAGCCTATGCCTTTGAGTTTTTCAACTTCTGCCTTCATTGCCTCGTACCGTTCAACGTCATAAGATCTTTGCTTCTGTCTCACTGGCTTGGTCTTGGGGTCAATACTTAAGCGATGACAGATTATATCGGGAGAGATGTCTGGCATGTCCTCGTATAACCAGGCGAAAACCTCAGTGTTCTCTTGCAAAAAAAGATCAATGCTAACCGAATGGGTGGTGACAAGGTGGTACCAATCTTCACCATGCGATCCGGATAATCTTTTGAGATAGAGACCTTCTCCAACTCTTCAGCAGTTTGTGCTTGCTGGGTGAAAGAGTCATTTCGAGAATCGTCGGGTTGACTGTTGCCACCGTGAAGATCCAAGTTGGCTTCGTCCGGGCTGGTCTTTATGACTTGGTCATGTATAGAAAGGGTTTCCTTGGGCACAGGCAGGTGCTGTTGCTTGACCGAAGTGTTGTAACATGATCGTGCACTAAGTTGATCTCCTCTGATGTAACCATTGCCATAGGGGGTTGGAAATTTCATCAACAACATATGTGTGGATACCATAGCCTTGGGATCATCAACAACATTGTATGCCATTGGGCAATCAACCACCAGGAAGTTAGTGGTAATGGTAGCTGTGTAAGGGTCTGTACCAATGGTGAAAGGTAAGTGTATGCTCCCCAAAGGTTGCACGATATCACCGGAGCTTATCATAGGGGAAATCGAGCGGTCGAGCAAGTGTTCAGCTACATTAAGTGTCCTGAAAACTTCAGCAAACATGATTTTGACCGAAGCCCCCGTGTTTACCAGGATTCGTCGTACTTCAAAGTTGGCTATGTGAGCTTCCACGATCAGTGGGTCGTTGTGAGGGTAGATGATACCTCTTTCTTCCTCAGGGTAGAAACATATTGGATCCCAGTTAGGCTTTTGATACTTACCTCCCCTGATGTCTTCCACGTGAAACATTTGGTGGCCAGACCTTAAAGCTCGTTCACTATTTTTCATGGCCTTGTTGGAAGATTTAGATATGGGTGTGCCACCACTTATGAAATATATCACATTTACCTAGCGTTGGTAACGGTTACCCCTTAGAGGGTGAATGAGGAATTGATCGATTTTCCTTCACGTGCCAAAGTTTCAATATGATCACGAAGGGTGATACACTTCTCGTCGTCATGGCCGTTATGGTCGTGATAGCAGCAAAACGTGCCCGTGTTCTTCGTGGGCTTGTAATTCGGGTGCCTCGGCTTTGGCTTCGGTATCAAGTGTGCTATGCTAGGGTAAATGGCCACGCATGTGGTGTTCAAAGGTGTGTATTCCTCATACCTCAGGGTAGAGGCTGTCTTGACACATGCTTGACCCACTGTGTTGACTGCCTGGGGTCGGGGATTATCATGGCGATACCCTTGGTTATCGCAGTAGTGTCCCTTACTCCTTTTACTAAAATGAGACTGGTGAGGATGGATATCTTTCCTTTTGCCCTGAGATTGATATGTCTGTTGACTTGGCAAAGTATTAAGTAAGGCAAGGGGAGGCACCGCTGCCGTTTGGAAGGTCGAAGTCTTCTCATTTGGTTGGATCTGGCTTCCACTCCCTACTTGCTGATAAGGGGTGGTTGTGGGGGGTTTCCCTTGATATGTCCTTGCCTCGGCGGAGGCATGGTTATAAGCCTATGCCATCACCTCAGAGTAAGTCTTCCAAGTGTTGGCATTGATCATGTACTTGAAGAAACAATCACGTAAGCCTGTCGTAAAGGCCTTGATGGCGGTCTTGTCATCTGCATCAGCGCTGCGAGAATACTCATGGCTGAAATGACCAGCATACTCTCGTAGTGACTCGTCCGGCTTCTGGCGAATAGTATACAAGTCATCTGTAGAATGCAAGCGATCGGTCTGGAAGATGTGTTGAGAGACAAACAGTTTCCTCAGTTCCTCAAATGAGTCTACTGTCTCAGGTGGAAGACGGCAATACCAGTTTCGAGCTCCGCCAGAGAGAATAGAGGGGAAGAGAAGACATCGCTCTTTGTCGGTGTGCATCTAATATGCCATGGTGGACTCAAAGAGGTTAAGGTGTTCAATTGGGTTCTCCCTTCCAGTATAAAGTTGTAAACCAAGCTTTTGTTTTGTCTTCGCTTGAAGTGAGGTGTCGAGGATCCTCCTTGTGAGAGGGCCAGGCCTGGGTTGGTTCCAGTCAGATATCTCGGCCTGACGTTCGGCCTTCAACTTGTTTACTTCCTCAAGGAGTTGTAAGACAAAGGGGTCTTTAGTGGAGTCATGTACCACTAGGATTTTCTTTCGTAAGTCTCCATCGCCTCTTGGAAGTGGGAAAGTTTGAGCAAGGGCGTGTGATTTTTCCTTGGACTCGCTGTACTGACTTCTAGGGCGAGTCTGTCGGAATACCTCAAAGTCCCCTGTACATTCATGTTCCTCTAGGACATGTCGTTCCTTCCCTAGATTGGCAGCTGGCCTGGGTCGTGGAAGGGGACCGAGTCTTTTAGAAACCCTTGGGTCATTGATCTTCGAGCATATATGGAGGGGATTCTTTCGACGTTGCTTTAGGAAGGCTCGGCAGTCACGATAAACGACTTTCGATCCTTCCAACCATTCTGCAATGAGGTGTCTTCCTCCACTTCTCCTGCTTCGGGTCGAAGCAGCTGGGTTGAGAGAAGTCTCATGTTGATCAATGTTTTGATGATTAACTCGCTCCTCATTAAGGATACCCATGTCGAAGAAAGGTGACCCTTCGTGTTGGGGGGCACCCAGATGATGGTTGATGTCCACAGGGGCAACAAGCTCGCGTGTGTGAGTACGCATAGTTTCATGGAGCATCTTAAAGAGCTTCTCATACTACTCCTGGAGGACCTCATTCTTCATTGCTATCTTGTTGTTTTGAGCTTCTAGCTCATCGACTTTAGCTTGAAGAGCAACCCTTTTTCCTTCATTCTTTCGTTGCTTCGCACTAGGTGCAAGATGGGTGTCATTCTGCGTGCTGTGACTTCCTTCGCTCCCCATGTTGGAGATGGATGCCTGGTCAAAAGAGAGTACGAATGGTGGAAACCAGCTTGACAAAGCTGAAGAGAGTGGGAATAAGTGTCGTTCCCACAAACGGCGCCAAATGTTGATGCACAAAATCAGTGAGGACTTTGGTACAACAGAAAGTGTTAAGTTTGTGACATTCGCTAGATTGCTCTGGTCACTAGTGTGGATAAGTATGTAAATGGATAGAGACAGGGAAGCAAACACAAGATGTACGTGGTTCACCCAAATTGGCTACGTCCACATAGTAGAGGAGTTCTCATTAATTGTGAAGGGTTTACACAAGTACATAGGTTCAAGCTCTCCTTTAGTGAGTACAAGTGAATGATTTAGTACAAATGACATTAGGAAATATTGTGAGAGAATGATCTCTATTTATAGAAGAAAGTTTCTAGTTTCATTCTGACATTGACACGTGTCGTGTTGTGATTGGCTTCTGATGTTGACACGTGTCGCGCTATGATTGGCTTCTGATATCGACACGTGTCGCGCTGGGATTGGCCTCCTGGTTGGAGGGAAACTCTTCTGGGTCCTTGACGGTATAACGTTGACCGGTGCTCAGTAGTTTCGGGATTGGTCAAGTATGGTACAAACATGACTGATATCAAAATTGTTTTTTCATATTATCTATTTTTAGCAAAAAACAACTATTAGTAAAAGCGTCATGTAATCATGCTTATTCAACTATCCAACAACTAGTTATGTTGCAAAAGGTAAGACCAATAGGGCCCAATGAACAAAAGTACAAGAGGATTGTGTGTGTGTGAGAGAGAGCAAAGTCAAACCAAGTGAAGTTAATTACCCTACTTAAGTTTTCCCACTCAAAAAAATAAATAAAATTTGAGTAGATTAATTGATCAAACTATTTTCACAAAGAAGCCAGCTCGTTATATTTGAGTTCTTCCAGCTTCATATACTACGGCATTTTGTCAGATCTTTTAGGAGACGGGATCTTTGCTGTGGATGGAGAAAAATGGCTGCATCAAAAAAAGGTATCGAGCAATGAATTAACAACCAAAATTGTGAAAGACTTCAGCAGTACAGTCTTCAAAACCAATGCAGTAAAACTTGCACGGATAATTTCTGAAGCTGCAACCTGCAACAAAGCAATTGAGATCCAAGTAAGTTTGCCATGTTTCAATAATAACATTTATAGCATGATTAGAATTAATTCCTTGTACATATGAGGAGTTTCATAAGGAGATCCAACGACACTGTAGCAAAACCTGGAGCACTCTGCAGTGAGGGTTAAATAACTGAAACCATTTAGTTTTTAGATCTCCATCCAAGAATCAACCTTGTAAAAAAAATTCATTAAAATCCAAAATCGGTTGACCATTTGATTATCATTATGAACATTCGTCTTTTAAAACTTTGTGTACGTCTATTTATTGACTAAATGATTTTGAGATTCGGTTAATTTTTGTAAAAATGATCCTTGAATGAGGTTCCTAATTCTTGTGTATAAATACAACACATATTTTATAATTCTTGGCGTTTTCTTTTTGGGACGAAGGAATTGTTTATGAAAGCAACCTTAGACTCAATCGTCAAGATTCTTCTTGGAATTGAACTAGACACCATGGACGGAACAAATGAAGAAGGTACTCGGTTTGCCCATGCTTTTGATGTAGCAAACGAAATGACCATCTATCGTTATGTTGATTTCTCGTGGAAGATCAAAAGGTTCTTAAACATTGGATCAGAAGCACTGCTAAGGAAGAATATCAAAGTGATAGATCAATTTGTTTGTAACTTAATCAAAATAAAGATTGAAACAGATAATTCATCAGAAGATGAGCTACTGGCAGTGAGTAATTAGCCTTCTACTCCATGATTTGTTATATTAATTCCAGAATGAGTGATTAATTTAGTATAAGTAGCATTATTGTAAATGAATAATAAAGTTAGTAGTGTGGATGATTGGCAATATTGTCAGGTAAAGAAACAAGACATCATTTCAAGGCTTTTGGAATCTCAAGAGACCGATCCAAAGTACTTGAGAGACTTGATCCTTTGTCTCATTTCTGCCGGAAGAGATACAACGGCTAGCACTCTTACGTGGTTTATTTATATGCTATGCAAGCATCCTCATATACAAGAAAAGGTTGCACAAGAAGTTAGAGAGGCAACAAATCTGGAAGATAGTTCATGCATTGATGAGGTTGCTGCCAGCCTTACTGAAGAAGCTCTTGAAAAAATGCAGTATCTACATGCAGCTTTGTCTGAGACACTCAGGCTCTACCCTGCAGTTCCACTGGTAATTTAGTATTTATCATCTAAATTAAAATGCATGTACGAATACTTCAAATACTTCCTCACTTTTTTGTATTTGAAACGTTATGTGTTACTTTTTAAGTATATAATAAGTTAATTTATGCAACACGTGCTATCATATGTAGAACGCGAAAGTTTGTTTAGCTGATGATACCTGGCCAGATGGATTTAGTGTCAAAAAAGGCAATTTTGTGGGATACCATGTTTACGGAATGGGCAGGATGAAATATCTGTGGGGTGATGATGCAAAAGAATTTCGGCCAGAGAGATGGCTCAACGAAAATGGTCTTTTCCAGCAAGAAAGCCCTTTCAAATTCACAGCTTTTAATGTACGTAAGAAATGCATGTTGATATAATTTTGATCACCATTAGACATGTTACATTTTATTAAAACGCATGCACAAAGGATGATATTATTTCTGAAGATTTTGATATATATATACACACACACTTGTCGTTCACGTACACAGGCGGGGCCAAGAATTTGTATAGGAAAGGACTTTGCCTATAGGCAGACAAAGCTCATCTGTGCCGTGCTTTTAGGGTGCTACAAATTCAAGCTGAGTGAAGAGAAGAAAGTGGCCCATTACTTGACCAAAATCAGCTTCCATATAGACGGGGGACTTTATGTGCATGCTTCTCCAAGACCTTAATTAGATGCCTTAAATATATTTTCCTTCCCATGCAATTTGTCTTTTTAAAATTATTATTATTAGAATAGTTTATGAGAAGAGTGGTTTCGAATCAGAAACACATGAGTGAAAATTCAACAATCTATCAACTAGATTGAACCACATGCATCTGCCTAATATATGAGAGAATACTATTGTATTTAATAATTAAAAAAGAGTTATTACAATGAAGCCTTCTTTACGTATTTGATGATCACAATTGTAAGTCCTATGATTATATACTCAATCGTTATATCACAATAAATAAATAAAAAAAAAAAAAACTACAGTGCTGGTTACATTCACAAAGTCATTTTGGTTATAAAAAATTAATTTTGCAATATATGATATTTTTGTTTTCATTTAAATTTTGAATTATTGGGTATTTGTAAACACAAGGAACAAAATAATGATCATCTGACTAGGGGGAAATTCCTATTAGTTGTGGAGTGAGGAATTTAGTTTTGTCGTAATATGAATGGCGTGGCGGTTAATGTTTTCCTCCTCTGTCTGGTTTTTTCAATTTCTTGCTTATATCCCACAGTGAG